AATCAATATATTGTTTTCTGTGAGTGAGTAAACAAGATGATTTTCACATCATTCTGATGCAAAAACTCTAGACTTCAAGATCAGTTCTCAATAGTCCTGTAAACAAATGTTCTGTATGTGTTTTATGGCCTTATTTCAGTGACTTTAAAATTTTAGTTTTTCACTAAGCACGCATAAACGTTGTTTTCTCAAAAACACAATCACATACATACATGCTGCCCACATATTATTGTAGCCCAGTTTGTGCTGATTATGGTGCTACTAAACTTAGTCATTAAAAATGTTTATGAGCAACTGAAAAAAGCACAAATGTCAGGACATGTCAAAACTTCTCCAGGGCCCAAAACACCCTCAGACCCCAGAGGGTTAAACTGTAGGGATGATCATAATATTCTAATATTTTGAGATACTGGATTTTTGACTTTCATGAGCTGTAAGCTCTAATCATCAAAATTAAACCAAAACTTTTGAAATGTTTTACTTTACATGTAAAGAATCTAGAATATAATATGAAAGTACAAAAGTACTTATTCAAAGTTTTTGAAATAAGTTACAAAAAATGAACTTTTTCATGATATTCAATTTTTTTAGATGCATCTGTATATATTCAATATATTTATATAGAATATGAATATATAAATGTATAAACGTGTAAATATTTTCAAAATATATACTGGATGTGTGTGTATTTATTTATACATAATAAATATACACAGTACAAAAACTTTTATTTTGGATGCGATTAATCGCAATTAACAATTTGACAGCACTAATTTTTATGTAAATAATTGTAAGTAATTGATTATATATTTGATTGTTTGTTTGTTTTAAATGTATTTATTCACATCAATTGCAGATACAAGGTCACTTTTTAATTTACATATTTATTGAATGAATAAAAACAATGTATTTATTATTTAATTAATTATTTAATTAATAATAAATAATGTACTTGATTCATTTTGAAAAAAAAATTCTACACTGCTCAAAAAAATTAAAGGAACACTTTTTAACCAGATTATAGCATCAAGTCAATTGAATTCCTGGGATATTAATCTGGTCAGTTAAGTAGCAGAGGGGGTTGTTAATCAGAGAGACGACCCCCAAAACAGGAATGGTTTTACAGGTGGAGGCCACTGACATTTTTTCCCAACTCTTCTTTTCTGACTGTTTTTCACTAGTTTTGCATTTGGCTAGGGTCAGTGTCACTACTGGTAGCGTGAGGCGATACCTGGACCCTACAGAGGCTGCACAGGCAGTCCAACTCCTCCAGGATGGCACATCAATACGTGCCATTGCCAGAAGGTCTCCCAGCACAGTCTCAAGAGCATGGAGGAGATTCCAGGAGACAGGGCATTACTCTAGGAGAGCTGGACAGGGCTGTAGAAGATCCTTAACCCATCAGCA